GGGGCCAACTAGTTAATAATTAACTTTACAATATGGTGACGTAGTCTGATTGATGTTCGTTTTATGTCCCAAACTTATTATTATTATAAGTGCTATTGTTATTTATTATTATTACTATTATTATTATTACTATCATCATCATTACACTTGATAACATTTTGAGGAATTTATTCAATATCCACCCCTAAATCTACTATATCTGACCTAATTCATATTATTCTACACATTACGCAATTTCCGATTTTTATCCCATTATTTTCTTTCTCACCCCATGTTGACCATATTTATTCTGATCATTTATCTCACAATTTAATTTCACTTAGAAACTGATTCAACTTAACAACTTCATATTACAGATTGTAATCATGAGTCGGTTGAAGCTAGACAACCATGGAAAACCTGGAAGCACTGGACGGCCGTTTCGTCCTAGTATGGGACTCCTCAGCAGTGCCAATCCACGACCTCGCACCCCACGAGATTCGAACCCAGGACCTATCTGGTTTGCGCCAGGCGCTTAACCAACTAGACCACTGAGCCGGTGGTGTTAATGTCTAACTTCAACCAATCCACAAACCCTTTCTGATAACTTCATATTAATCAGCCCCAACATTAACGATTTGATTTGATTTTGTATGACAAACAACAATTCTCAATTCATATATTACAACTTCCAAATGATGTACTCTGCCTAAAATTTGGCCAATTTTATGGATTATTAATTTGCATTTATAATAACCTGATGAGAAATTATTGAAAAGAATATTCTTCGTTCATATTAATTGTGTTTTAATATAATGGGAATTTTTCAGCGATATATGAAAGTGTTTAGTTGAGAGAGAAGGATGAAAACCAAGTAGCCAAGGGTTTAAGAAACAAAGACGTATGATCAATAATGATTTCTATTTTTTTTTCAAATATAATAAAACTAATTTGGATGAATTAAATTGTTGAAGATCATTGCCTGTAACATGAGTAAATTTAATATCGTTTTAAAGTTTATATCCTATGTCAACTTTAGACAAACACTGCAAAAATAAAGGAGTGGATGGCTATTTTTCATTAGTATGGGATACCTAATCTACGATTGTGACTCGGCTAAGAATAGAATTAAAGACTTTCTAGTTTTGCATTTGACGTTTAACCTTCACATTCAGTAATTTATATCCTTTAATTTAGGTCATTTTGCAATGTTGTGCAACTGTCTTCTGAAGTGATTGGTACATAATTGCTTAACTACTTATAAGGTTGAATTTCACTAGTCATGGAGTCTCAGTAGGACTTAAGGAATTTCCTCTTAATATTTGTTACTTGTATGTACATGATTACCTTTAATAGTATAAAGAATTTGTGAAAATTATTGGACATATGTAGTGTGCATCACAAAATGACCTTAAATAACCAGTGAACCTGCATAACAGTAGAGAAATCTGAACTAAATACTTACATCTAATCATTGATAACATATCACAAAACACTTTCTAATAGTTTTCTTCACTTCTGAAAATATTTATTCTGCATAACTTTATTGGGTGGTCCGATAAAATTATTGACTACAGTAACCTAATGAATTACATTGAAAAGAATAAAACTTTCTAAACTGAAGATTGTTTTGAGAAGATCAGTTTCATAAATTAAATTTTACCATAGAAGGTAACTACATTCATATATAACCAAAAAGCGCTTAAACTCAATAGGCCACTCTAGTAGATTCATATAAGAAAATGATATTTAAGAGATCTTTGATATCAAAATTTACATAATTCCAAAGCTTTACCCGGTAAACTGGTCTAAGTTTCATCAAGGAAATAATCATAATCAAAATTACTAGCAAAAAAAAGTTTTGTGAAGATTGTAAAATTTTTCCAAATTTAAATAATGAATTGATTTTAACCAGTCTACCAATGGAAACCTGGAATTATGTGACTGTTCAAGAATGTACGTTCACGATCTACCACTCAGCAACCGGACTAAAGACCTTTGATCTCTCATCTAAACGTTTAACCTCTCAAGTGTGAGGAAGTTATCAACAGAATTCAGTCAGTCAGTCAGCTACAACGTAGGACCAGGCACATATATGCATCGGTCCAAGTTGCCATACCTCATTAACACACAAGATGAACATCGGATTCATAGAAATAGTTAATCCAGTTGTGGTAATATATAAAAGAAAGATTTCAGTAAGGATATAGTACAGAAAGAAAGAATTAGTTCGTAGAAAGAAAGATATGAAGCGATTTTAATCTCTTAGTTTAAGGGAAGACAGAGAGTGTATACACCGACGCCATTGTGATCGATTCTGAGCCATGTCACCAAAAGTATTCAAACATTGGCTACGATAGTCACGCGGACCCCAACCAAGTAGTCTGCATCTACCAACATGGCTGGGACCAGAAGTTAGTGACTTCAAGCACTGATGCCACGTTTTGGTTTGGCCGCCCCTCACTTTCTTCCAACCATCTCCAACACCGGTTAGCATTGCACGTCGTGGTAATCGGTGTTCAGGCATACGTAACACGTGGCCCAACCATCTCAGTCGATGAAGATTAACAACCTCATTAACTGATTTACCATCATTTCCTAATACCCTATTATTACTTACCCGGTGATCCCAACAGACGCCAGCAATATTTCTGAGGCATCTGTGGTCAAATACTAGTAACTAACGAGTGTCTTCTACTCTTAATGGCCATGTTTCGCTACCGTAAAGTAAAACAGAACGGACTGCTGCGCAGTATACTCGTCCTTTTATTGATAGACGGATATCTCGCCTTCGCCATAGGTGACGTAAGTTGGCAAAAGCCAAACGAGCTTTTCGAATCCGTGATGAGATTTCGTCAGACACCAACCCATTAGGGCTGATCAGACTTCCAAGTTAAGTGAAGTTGTCAACACGTTCGACTACTTTACTCCCTATCCTTAGTTCAACACAAGAGAGTAGATGTGTACTTTTGAGGAGTTTCCTACTAGGATAAAACAGCCGTCTAGTGTTTCCAGTTTACCAGTAGTTTTCCTAGATCAGTTCATATCATAAAAGTTTTTTCTTTTTCGGTGTTATGTTGACCGACAACCATTTGAACTGCATATCTAAACTTCATCACAAATTTCATACATTTATTTCTTTTAATGTGCTTTTGTAAAGTAAAAGCAATCAAAACATTGTAGGATGACATAAATTTATTTCATTCTACATGATTTAGCTTTTCGGCAATATGCATGGGTTAGCATGAATAAACGAAATGTTTTTTACAAATGTAAGTTTGTGCATAATAAGTGTCAAAACATTTAGTTTACTAATGAGGATTAATTATAATCGTAATCAACAATTATACAACAATAATTTATAGACAAACGGAATAAGCAGAAAAAAGACTATGATGTCGGTGATTGTGAGAAACACTTCTTAAATGTTACGTTCATGGTAGATGAAATAATAAAATTAATGATTCCTAACAAAACACATTTACAAATTAGTCATAATAATAATAATGATACTTTTCAAGTTGAATTCACAAGCCAATCTAAGCTGAACAACTAATGAAAACCTGGAAGCATTAGACTGCCGTTTCGTACTAGTATGGGACTCCTCAGTAGTGATACTGTCAGTAGTTGTTAAGGATATTATTAGAAAAAAACAATTAAATGGATTGCTTATCTGATCGGAGATTAAACATTTCACTGGATCAGGTTAAAATTATAAGACTAACTGTAGGTTAAAAGTTGACTAAAGTGAACAATAAAAGTACTACTAGAATGAAAGAAAATATGAAAATATAGTAGAAGAATGTTCGTGAACATTATAGGTTGAAAAAACAAAAAAATTGGATGATTTTTTAAAAATTAAAGAAAAGAAGATTGATAGTGAATCAATTACAATAACAGTACACAGAAACTATAAATTTAGTTTTTCGCACATAGGTTAAGGTTGAGATGACAAATAACTATTACTTCTTTTTAATGAATAAATCTCACTGGTGAACTAAGTGAATTTATGCTTATTACGCACAAAGTAACCTATCCGTCACACTATAACCAAGCTCTAACATTGATTAATGCGACAGAAGTTTAAATTTGTTTAAATAATCCACGTTTAAATTCACTTGGTGCCGTTTACTTGTATCTTTCCATTGTTATTTTGGACTGCAATCGATCAGTCTCTTGTTAGCATACTGTGTGGACTGCTTCGATATTGCCTTAGGTCAGAAGCTTTATCAGCGAAGATAGATAGTGGCTTGCAGTGGAATCCCGAAGGTTCGTTTCTTCTTATTTGGGACTCGTCAATTGGATGTACATGCATATTAGAGTTGATGTTCACTCTGGTACTCAAACCCATTACCTTTTGCCTCAAACGCCATCGCATTATTCAATGGGTTCGAGTCTCAGGGTGAACATCAACTCTAAGATGCAGATATATCCAATTGAAGAGTCCTAAATAGGAGGAAACGAGCGTCCTGGATCACACTGCTATCCAGTATCCATATCTGCTAAAAAAAATCCGTGTCTAGTCTTGATCACTCACTTCTGATCCATTTTTATATGTGAAATTCGGTTAGAATTCTGATGTCCAAACATTAAAAACTTGTTCTTACGTATAACATATATTCAAGTAGCAAATTTATAAATTTCTATTACACTATCATTGTTCATTTTTATCTTTTTTAAAGAAACAATAAACTTATAATTCACAATTTAAAGAAAAATATCTTGTATATAACTTCGATTTGCTGCCATCAATAAAAGACACCGGAACGAATCCATCAGGGAGCACCAGTTCCCTCAAGATGACAAGTACACCTTGCTGACGAGTGCCAAGTAGCACGAAACCCCGGTCCAGGGTTACTTGTTGACTACCTCCAACCACCATCTTATATCAACAAATGATTACGAACATTGTTCATGATTCATTAGAACTACAACAATGAAGCATTTCACTGAATACATAGATGCTTTTAAAACAAACAACAATCATAATAATAAAATGAAAACATTTAAAATTAAATTACCATTGTTGTACATTTCTTCTTCAGTTGACTGATTTTTTCGGCATAATAATACACCGAATTTGTGATTGTTCAATAACTACAATACAAAAAAGCAAATAATACAAAATTCAAACAAACTGACTTTACAAATATAGAAAAAGCAACACTCTCTTAGTTATATTTGTTGTGAATTATCTAACAAGCTTATGTCAATTACAAAAGGGTTGAGTTAAATAATCAAGACGTTTGACCATAGCACAATTACATGTTAATGTGTTTGTTTTTCACTGTATTATAGCTTATAGAGCAGTTGAACTATAAATAATGTAAAAATTTTCTAGCTAGTTGATATTAGATTTTCTATAATATCGATTGTCATATAGTGGTATATGCTACTCATACTGACAGATATAAGTAGTATGTAGTCGCAATCAAAAGTGGAATGTCTGGCAGCCGAAGACTGAATTAAAGAGAAAAGGAAGAGAAACAAAGAGCAATTGGAATATACACAGAATTGAAGGAGTAATGGAGTAGATTAAGGACAACGCAAAAAAACATGTTCAAAATAATGTATTTAATATAAGATTTTCATTGTGTGACAAAGGTACTGTGTAATTTTGCATTAAAGAAAAGATTGATTTCTTCAATCTGAGTTTTCATTCACTACAATATAACATTTTATAGTTTTAACAAATGGAAGTAACACTGTGAAGATTCAACTTCATCATACTCAGTAACATATGTATCTTTTAGGTTGTTCGTTTAACCATGGAGGTAAACCTATTTTTTAATTCAAAGTAATTATAAATTAGAATTTCAATGGTTTGATAAACAATTGTTCATTTTCAGAATGGGTTTTGTGGAGATTTTAGAAATTTCACAGATTGAAATCATGAGTCAGTTGAAGCTAGACCACCATTGAAAACCTGGAAGCACTGGACGGCTTTTTCGTGAGAAGCCGTTACCAGTGGCGTTCAACCAGGTCTGTTGTGAGATAGGAACTCACTGAAGACAATGGTGTACGGTGGCGCAACTTCGTGGATTGGTTGAAGTTAGACATTAACACCGTTGGATGCCGGCTCAGTGGTCTAGTGGTTAAGTGCTCGCGCGCGAAGCCAGTAGGTCCTGGGTTCGAGCCCCGCGTGGTGCAGGATCGTGGATGCGCACTGCTGAGGAGTCCCATACTAGGACGAAACGGCCGTCCAGTGCTTCCAGGTTTTCAATGGTGGTCTAGCTTCAACTGACTCATGATTTCAATCTGTGAAATTGTTCATTTGTTTAAATAAACTAAGTAGAAATGTTAATTGATTAACAACATAGAAGTGGTTGTATGATGGCTGCTTCTAAGAATGAATCATTAAGATAAGTCTACTAAATGATCTGAGGTGAAAGATAGACCATTAAGCAAACGATTAAGTCGTTTATAGTAAAATAACATTCTTATATACAAATTATTGATAGAAAAATGGTATGAGTAAATGTCATAAATGATTGATCAATATCAGTTAAGTAAGCTTTTAGCTCTATAATGAATTACCTAGTAAATAATATGTCTTCTTCTATCTAGTCTATCATAATAGTATGTAAGCTAAATATTCATTTTATGCAATCGGTTTAATTTCTATTTGAACATTGAATAAAGCAATGTTCGCTATTGACTATTTGTAATCACAGATGTTTTGAAAAACTTTTCATCAACTTTTCGGTAATTCAATATGAGTCAATGTGTAGCGTGTTCACAATGAGTAAATATGTGATTGTCTGTGAGAATTTGTCAAGATAACAAAGCACTAAATAAGTGATAGTTTCTAATTCATTTGAATAGATTGTTTGAATAAGATGGAATGTGTGTCCAAGACTCCACTGTTAGCCACCATCCATCTTAGCTTATAATCCTTGTGACTTAAGACAATATCGATAAAATCTGCACAAGATGTATAAACGCCACAAGAAACTGTTCATTTGTAGTCTTAAACAACAACAGGAAGATTAAAATAACCAATGCACAAACCAGTGACTATTTGCACTCAGTAGCTAAGTGGATAATACGACAGCGTTTGATACCAACGGTACTGGATTTGAATTCTGAAGTGGATATCAGTTAAATCGTGAAAACGAGTGCTAAATAGAACGATATACGTGTTTTAAATTCCACTGTTAGCCAACATATATGGTAATTTTGGCCGAATATATTTTTACATCATAAAAGCACAATATCAATTTTGAGTGATTTAATTTCTTTGCAGTTAATCATAAATACCTCTATTTCATATAACATTTATTGTAGATGCTCATTTAGATATATAAATGAAGCATATTACATTAAAGTCATCTAGGAAATGATTAGTCATGAAATGAAATAGCACCATGTAAACTGAAGTGATGAAGAGTATTTATTGCTTAAGATTCGAATATTAAAGACAGTCCTTACAGATAACACAAACAATAAATTCTCTGGAAATGAATAAATTATTTATAATCAAGTGCTCAAAAAGAAGATTATTTACCTCATTTCAATTAAAGAAATAAATATTAGAAATGAGCTGTATTTAACTGATACAATGACATGATCGAATCTAATTGAATCTATAGTTGAATGGTAAAGAAATCAATCTTCAAGAGATTAGGTAACAAAACTTTTATAAGTATTGAAAAAGTATATACTCGGAAATATTGATCAGTGAATAAGCCTGTATATGAGTAACGTCTGTATATGCCTCATCAGTATCAGAAATATTTCTTCTACAGAATCCGCTATACTAAATTCCCGTATACAGATTACTTATATTAATCCATTTAATTCAAATGACAAAGATTTCTATGACTTTTTAACACTTATTCGAACTATATTTTCTGGAATTTTTTTCTGTCAGTCCCTTTATTCTTCTCACTTATTTGCTTCATTTTTTTCTCTCTCAGGTATCTTTTATTGGCTATCTTGAAGTAAAGTTTATCAACATAGGTCAGTTAATTTGTGAGTTTGACAACTTACTAACTTATATTTACATTTTTCCTTAAAGAAATAAAAACGTTTGATCCATATCAACTTCAGCACAATTTCAGTATATATGTAAATTAATAGTGTTTAAAAGCTCAATAGCGATTATCGCAAGCAATTTTAGACATGAGATATGAATCTTAAAATTGAATCATAAATCAATCCTAATGAAACCGTGACATTGAGTGTTTAGTGTAATTAAATTACTTTTATGTCTAGACTTATGATACTAGAAGACACATTCAATAAGATTGTGTTTGAAAGATATTTTACAGATAACTAAAAAAAGCTATACTTAATGTAGAGGGGTCCGCAGAGCTTTTTGAACTTTCATAGTTTAAAACACAAACTGGTCTTAGTCAGAATATCGCTGAGAACCTGAAAGTACTGGAACAGTTTTCTATACTGACTAACTTCAAAAAATCAACTTTACAAGTAATAGTGAGGTGTGATGAGTGAAATTGAACCGTGTCGAGTATGAGATAATTACTCACTATAAGAAGTGGATGAGGTTTGCCCAATACCATGAATTGGTTGGATGGATACGTTTGCCTGGGAGTACAAAGGTGCCGGGTTCGGTCTTTAGACGAAGATTCGTTGAAAATCACTACTAAAGAGTTCAAATATTCATCTGACGTCTAGATAAGATATGTTGGTGATTGAAACTATGAGAAACAACATATATCCCATATCTTTCTCTTCAATAACAAGTAGGACTTTTGATGAACTATTACTTGGTGTTTACATTAAACATACTTGACAATTAAGTCATACCATTGATGCTCATGTATTTAAATTAACTATACCGAAAAGTGACATCTCTGTACTTGAACATTTACTATTTTAAATCTTATTGAAATTTAATTTTGTTTACTCTTTCCTAGTTACTAACCATTTACTACTTGTAATCAATAATTGACGTGTACTTAATTATTTCTGAAATTATTGTTTTTATTAAAATGTTTACAATTCGATGAGTTTATAGCACCATATGAAATATCCATAAAATATGTCAACTATTAAATATTTATATACAAATGTATTTTATAATAAACGAAAGTTTTTTTTTATTTATTAACCTAAAATAGGGAACTAAGTTACTCATTATTTTAGCTGATTACATAATGGGTGGTCTACAAATTACAATACTATTTAAAGAAAAACAACAACTTTCAATGATGGTTGGATATTTGTATTAACTTCAAATATTTATCATCACGGGGCAAGCCCTAACTTGGAATCCTGAAGGGAAGCGAAGAAGAGGAAGGCCAAAGAACACATTGCGTCGGATAATAGAAGCAGATATGAAAACGATGAATTACAACTGGACGGAGCTAGAAAGGATTGCTTAGGACAGGGTTGGATGGAGAATGCTGGTGAGCGGCCTATGCTCCTTCACGAGGAGTAACAGGCGTAAGTAAGTAAGTAAGAAGTCAAATATTTATACAATGAACTATTGAAAACTAAAAGATGGAAGCATTGTGATAATGCTAATCAAATATATTTTTAAAAAAAAATACAATCAATCTATTCAAAGATTTATACATAAAACAATGAGCCTATAAGTACATGGGATGTAAGTTTACTACATGTAACATTTATAGCTTTTACAAACAGATTCAGACAATTCATAAGCACAACTAATCAATGTGATCTTTATATTCAATCCTAAAACTGATTTGACGATTGATCAATCTTTGTTAACATTGATATGATAATAACATAGACACTTCATTAAGTAATATGTTATGTTTATATATAAGAGATATGATAATGATGTTTATTGTAACTAAACGCTTATCAAGTAATGTTTTGTTATACTACATTATCAATACACAAAAGAAAGATATGTTTTGATTGGTTAACAAAGATATTAATCTATTATATCTGATAAGCTGGCTTCAAACTAATTGTATAACACTATGACATGAAACTAAATCTTTCTTTATTTAAGGATGATTATGTTGAGTATCATAAGAAAAAGAGAATAATTGAGTACTTTACTTAATACTTTATACTTTAATAAATTTCGATTCAATAAGATGGAGTTAATTCGAGAAATCCGATATATTTATGTTATACATTTAGAACAATCTGGT